GGACTAAGGCGACGTGCTGACATGGTTAAGCTTTAAGAGATATACACTGTGTTTAAAGTGATGTATACAATAGTCAATATATATACACACAGACACTTTCTGTTTCTAACAACTAGCACTCGCTAAAATTCTAACTGAGTCGAATATGTACATTAAATATTTTTTAGAAAATCTTATTGAAATAGTCATTATTATCGATACAGAGGCCGAATCTATAGTTTTTATAATTTTTGTCAGTCTGTCTGTCTCTCGATCTATCTATCTATCTGTCTGAGAACGTATCACGAGGAAATCATAGGACAGATTTTGATGAAATTTGGTATGATGATAGCTAGTTATCCGGGTCAACATATAACTTTATACTGTGAGAAAATATTTAATCTTTGAGAAATCTATACTAAGCGTTAAAACGCTAATGAAATGAAAAGCTTTGTTTGTTTGTAAAACACGCTATTCTCTCAAACTACCAGTCTGATTTGAAAAATTTTCTTTGTACGAGTATATAATGAAGTATTAATTCGCTATACAACATCTTGTTACGATTCTTATGAGCGCAACATTTATATACAACTATAAATAAACTAGACGAGAGAAGTCGCAGGAGATATTATAGTGCACAAGTGTACGCGCAGACACAACGTGCACTATCTATTCCTGTCACTCTCATACTCCGGTGGGACGACTGCTCGACACGACCGGTGAGAGTTAAGGCGCAGGACCGACGGCTTTACGTGCTCTCCGAGGCACGGAGGTGACACACCGCCAACTTCCCAACTCCGGGCTGTTACTGAGGCTTACTATACAGAAAGACTCAATAAATAAACTTGGCCCGACTCGGGACTCGAACCCAGGACCTCCGGGTGTGCAGTCGTACATGCTAGCCACTACAATACCGAGGCAGTTTTATATATTACTGGCAGAACCCTTCGGCTTCGCCCGCATTCACGCGGGTTCGTCGCCATGTATTTATATAATATTGTTCATACAAAAATACTAAAATTCCGATTAAAAAATGAGGGGTGGGGGTAGGAGGGTGAAAAATACTTTACGACCTATTCTCATACCTACCAAATATTAAAAAAACATTAAATCGGTCAAGCCGTTTCACACGAGATACTTATATATTACACTATAAAACACACATAAGAAACACATCCCTTATATATTAGTAACAGAATTGCGATTGTTTCGCATGTTTCACCTGAAATAACTCTGTAATTTAAGTCACCATTTTCTCAATCAATCCACAGTAATTGGATAGCTACTAGATATACTACACTAGAAGCCTTGAACTTCTTAGCCAACCTTCGTTGCCTAATAAATAACACTCTCGATATTTATCGGAGATCCTTGGCCGTGACGGTGACATTGGTTTTCTTAACGGTGTTGCTTTATTAGATTTGGTTAGGGTTCGTATCCAGATGGATTTTTGTTATTTTTGTATTTTCTTCATTTTGGTAGCACTTCTTTTATTGGGCTGATAGAAAGAAAGAAGACTGATTTTCTGCAGGCTCCGTTCCATATCTAGTATATTGGTGGATTAGACAAAGATTTATTTTGCACAACAATAAGTTCAAATTATGCATCCTTGGTTAAATATGTTTTCTACTAGACTAGATACTATATATAAATATTTCTTGTGTTATAATACAAGTAATATAGTATAACTTATGCATTACACTTGCTGCAACGTAAGAAAATAGGGCGTACAGGAACAAGATGGGACGTCGACATCTGCCTAACATTGGAGCCATGCTGTATCAGAATTGTTGAGGACGGATCAAAATAGAGGAGAGTTGGATGACACCAGAAGTCTTCCATCGTGCAACTTATAGTTTTCTTTATTTTGAACAATAGTTTTTGGTTCCAACAAATCACCAGAAATTTATAAAAAACGAGTAAATAAATAATAAAATGTACTAAGTCTTACGCACTAACCTTTACTCTCCTAAAATAAAAATAAATAAAAACTATTATTTTAATAATTTATTCATATCTTTATTATTTATTTGCAAAAGAAAATAGAATTATGATTTTTCACACTTTCAAACCGATAAATAGCAGGAAACAAAAGAAGCCCTCCACCGGACGTCACCATCGCGTCGCCGGAACTACTGGCTGCACTTAGCCTGACATCTACCCGTTTAAACTCCTACTCGAAATAAGGACTTGTGGTGGAAAATATTATACGGTAAGAAATATTTTATATTTTTACGTGAAATATATGTGCCTTCGTGGCATGTTTATTGAAAAGTCTGAGTAGACCAGTAATTTAAAACGCTCTGTATTCTAAAGAGTGTAAGAAGAGTGTAAGGTTGTAAATTCCAACGCATCATTATCTTAAGCAGGTTATACAAATGCTTGTATCATCAACTAAATTGACCTGAAATTTGAATGGGATTATGTGTGATGAAGCAGTTGATTTTTGCATTTTTATAAATTTTGTTATTATTTGTATAAGTAGATATGTTTGCGGTTATGCTAGCTTTATATAAATATAATACTCCTCTTCTGAGGGTCGTGTGGTGTTAGATGACCTATATTCTAGCCTTCCTCAATAAATCTATATAAATAAAAATCGATATAAGTATTAGGGCGTCGCGTAAAAAAAATATGTTTTTTTTTCTTAGCTTGGGGGTAGAATTTGTAGCTTATAAAAAAACAATTTTTTTAAAAGAAATAAATTTTTTACTTAATGTTTTGAGGTGGCCCACTGATTTTTAAAATAAATAATTTAAATTTTTGGTTTAAATGATTTTTTTTTCGAGTTATCATCCTTGAAAACATTCAAGAATTGACGAATATAGGTATTTTCTAAAATTTTTTATAAAAGCATTTTATAAAAAAAGAAAATATTTCAAATCTGTCTGATAATTCACGAGATTAGCGAGATTAAATAAAAAAATGTGTATTCTTCTGCCTTATAATAAGGTAACATTATAATATTGTTATGAAGACTTCTTTTTTAAAAGTAACTTATATTATTTGCGAATTGCGAGTAATCAGACGGTTCTCATGTAATCTATTTTTCTCTAAAAATAGTTGTAAATAGCTTGAAGTAGTTTTCAAATACAGATACAGATACGGTTCGTGTTTCCATACAAAACGTGCCCGATTGGTTGCCATTATATGTTTTATTGTTGACCAAGCAGAAAAACCCGTAAAAATCATCACTAACAGAATACGAACCTGTAACCCGAAATAAGGGTTTTAACGTTATATAATGACTACAGTATAAATATATTATGTATATCTTTGCAAGCGGATTCGACAGACATTGTCTTGTCCAAGCATATAAATAAATATTCTGTACGTGTGTATATAAAAATAAAAATTCCTAGAACCCTACTACGCCACCTACCGGGTCTAATAATGAGTCAAAGCCAAAAAAACACAAAAAAATTTTTTTTATTAAAATCGGTCCACCTGTTTATAAGGAGTTCAGTGACATACAAACGTAAAGACATATTATAAATATAAAGAAGTATTATAAATATAAAGATAAAAATTAAGAAAAAATAAATAAATATAATATATGTATGTATGTACGTACCTACATAATGGTAGTAATAAAACCCATACCACGAGAGGCAAGAGTTACCGTAATACATTTTCGCATTTAACTTTCTCGCTGTACCTACGTTTAAATGTCTACTTGGAAAAAGTACTTGTCTCGGTGAAGGACTTACGTTGTATTTTTATTAAATTTAAAAAAAATATTGCGATGTGTGATACGTTTTATTAAATTTTGTTACTTCTTAGAATATTTCTTACTTTCTTCTAGTTTACTTTGAAATTTTAAATAAGGTAAACTTGCGTGAAATTTATGTTTGTAAATTATATAATAATTATCTACGTATATATATATATATATATATATATATATGTATAAATTGAGGAGGAAGACTTAGGGTTTCCCTAACAGGCCTAATAGGGCCGTACCTTCCATACCTTTCCCTAAAAATATGTATGGTAAGTAACTTCATAATAGGGGAAGTAGCATACCCAATTTCCAATAACTATATATGTACTAGCTGACCCGGCAAACGTTGTTTTGCCATATGAAGTATTGTTTATGCCACACCATAAAAATATAACAAATAAAAATTGTCCAAAAAATGTAAAACAATTTTTTGGGGTGAGCCACCCTTAACACTTGGGGGTATAAAAATTAGTTATAAACCTAATCTCAGACCTACTAAATATACATATAAAATTTCATCAAAATCAGTTAAGCCGTTTCGGAGGAGAATAAACACGAAAACTGTGACACAAGATTTTTATATATTCTTAGAAGAAGATGTACATATAACTTCATTTTCAATTTTTTTATACTTTCTAACCCTCGGCTACCGATTGTAGCTTATCATAATAAAAAAAAACTAGATTAACAGTATCTAATTCATTTATTATCGAAATGCTTAAAAAGGTTTTTAGCTCGAGAGATGTATAAAAATATCAAAATATTATGTCTGTCTGTGCGTTGAATGAAGTTTATATCTAAACTCTAATACTTTTAAAGAACAATAGAGATTTCAATGTTTTGGAGAAGCAAAGATGAACCAGCTTTATTATTCAGCTTTTTTATTTAATCAGTTTTATTTTTAACCCCCGACGCAAAAAGAGGGGTGTTATAAGTTTGACGTCGATGTCTGTCTGTCTGTGTGTGTGTGTGTGTCTGTCTGTGGCATCGTAGCTCTCAAACGGATGGACCGATTTCGATGCGGTTTTTTTCATTTGAAAGCCAGTTTCCTTGCGGTGGTTCTTAGCTATGTTTGGTTAATATCGGTCCAGCAGTGTAAGAGTATCAGCTCTTTTCCAAAATGATGTAAGGCATTTTGGCGTATGATTACTCGATTAAGTGCTTCACGCGTGCCAGTGTAATCGTTAAATGACAAGTAATTTGCGTAGGGGGTTTTTTAAGTTTTAAATTTATAATTATTAGTTTAAAAATAATGATTACACAAAAACTATTATTAGCAGAATTATTTACTACATTAATATTGCATGTATCGTCGTGCCAATATAACCCTGCTTCTCGGCACTCTGCACTCTGTGAGTAAGTGTATTCTATCACTTCTTACAAACGCAGGATCATTGTCTAGTTCCGTCAAAGCTGACAGTACCATGTCTTTTGTGAACGGAACTTCTGGTGTTTCAGACACTCTTGACAGCCAGCGAGCTTCTATGCAGCTGTTATGATAAAAATATTTAAGATTGTGTGTGAATCATTAAATTTTTTAGAAATAATTGGTTTACATATTTGGTAAAGATTACATTTTGACGACACGTTTAACTCAGTTTGTAGTGACCCTATTTGCTGTGTCAGCGGTCGCGAGTTCGAGTCTCGCTGGGGCCATTCATTTGTGTGATGAGCACGAATGTTTGTACTCCAGTCATGAGTGTTTATTTATAATATGTGTATGTATGTATTTAAAGTTATATATGTGTAGCGTGTCAACTATCTGGTATCCAAAACATAAGCCTCGTGGCATACCATGGAATTAAATGGTGCTGTGTGTTAATGTCCCAACATATAAAAAAAAAGATATACAAGGATATTCATTGAATATTATTTAAGAAAAATTGTTTTTGTGTAATGCTTAGAATGAAAAAATAATAGAAATAGTTTGGGTGTGCACTAAATCATAAAAATAAAATAAAAATCTCACAACGGATTATAGTGGGACTTTATCATGTATATATACTTGATATAGTCTGAATTGTGAAAACCACTCTGTGGAACCAGCTATCGCCGGCGGTCTATCCGAACCGCTACGACCTGGCCACCTTCACGAAGAGAGCGTATTCCTCTCTTAAAGGCCGGCAACGCATCTGCAAGCCCTGCGGTGTTGCAGATGTCCATGGGCGGCGGTAATCACTTTCCATCAGGTGAGCCTCCTGCCCGTTTGCCCCCTTAGTCCCATAAAAATAATGAAAACTTTAAGTTTTCATTTTGATCAGCCAACCAAAACCAAAGACAAGGATTAGACTCGATGTTTTACGAGGTTTCATTAAAGTAAGGATAATGTATTGTTAAACAAATACACGGATATAATTCGGCTTACGATTACAAACTGTGAACACAATAATCCAGTTTACTTACGATGGACATGGGTCAGCCGGTACCAAAACATTGATCGGTGTTGCACTGAAGTAGTCAGGTGGCTGTGGGTGTACAGCATACTTTTTTAAACGAGAAGAGCTTTTATCACCTTTCTTTTGGAAATGCCTTTCCTGTGTACAAATAAAATTTAATAGTCAAATATATAGTTTTATAAAAAAAAACTTTTTCTCAAGTTTTTCTAAAATGGGTATAAAATTAACAATTTCCATATAAGGTAATTTCTTAAATGTCTTGTTTGACTGTTTAGGATCGTCCTCACCTAACTTCTTAAGTGTATTCCTTTGATTGTATATTACTAAAAGAAGATTTTTAAAATTAAATTAATCAATCCCGAAATTAATTATCAGCAGAAGTCTAATTTGTTACTTTGAAAAGATGCATTTAAACATTCTATCTTATTACAATATAAGGCGAAATTCTAGTAAGAAGTCAATAATCCACATAATACTTATTTCAATGAATCAAAGAAGTCCTATAGTATATATACATAATATATAGTTTATGATTTGACTCGAATTTAGTACTCTACCTATAACAGTATATAATAATATTATAGGCCTCTCGACAGTTTTGGCCACGGCAAATCTCTGCTGTGCAGGTGATATTATAGTGCACAAGTGTACGCGCAGACACAACGTGCACTGTCTATTAAGCAAGATAATAGGTACTTACATAATAATAAGCAACTTGCACCAATTCCTTAATTTCTTCAGTAATAAGCCGGAAAGTCAGATTTATATGGTTTATAGAAGGTTCCTTGTCCCCAAGAAGATTTAAAAAGGGTTCCGAAGAACAATTTAACAATCTGTAAACAAATATTTTATGTGTGTTTATTCTCAAAGCCTTTTACGGATTAGCATCCATAGCCATAAATAGCAAGTGTTTTTTTTACGTGTTCTAGCCGAATAAAATTAAAGAGAATCGTAGACGCGAATATTTTGAATGAAGTCCCTTGTCGCACGTTGTACCCGACATATTGGGAATGAGAGCTAGCGTAAAGAAATATTTTTGCCTTCTCGACACATTTAACCGATTTCTTAAAAAGTGGAGTTATTATTTACTAAGAACACTTCATGTGACGTCATCACAAGTATCAGACGAGCATAAGTGTTGAGAAGTGTAATTTATAAAAGTTCGTGTAAACTCTGCGCGAGTCTTCGATGAGCTTCAACATGCACGCAGTACGTTACTCGATGTGTATTTTTTTATATATATTGGGACATTTACACACATCACCATCTAGTTCCATGGTAAGCTACGAGGGTTGTGTTATGGATACCAGATAGTTGATACACTACACATATATAACTTTAAATACAAACATATTATAGGTAAATATAAACACCCATGACTGGAGTACAAACATTCGTGCTCATCACACAAATGAATACCCCCAGCGGGACTGGAACCCGCGAACGCTGGCGCAGTAAGTAAGTAGGGTCACTACAAAGTACAAACTGAGCCAAACGTGTTGTCGAATATTCCTTATTCTATTGGTAAAAGTCGTATGAAAATCCATACAGTAATTTCTGAGATTAGTCTGAACATACACAAAATCAATTTTAATACGTAATATGTAATGATCAAACTCGAGGAATCATTACAATCAGTTCACAATATTTGCTAATATTATAAAGAGGAAAAGTTCGTGAGTTTGTGACATTGTAGGGGTAATCTCTGGATCTACAGAACCCATATAGATGAAATTTAATAAGAAGATAGTTTAAGACCCTGGGAAGGACATAGGATATTTTTATCCCGGAAATCATCCCTTAAGGGGGTGAAAATGGGGAAGAAAGTTTGAATTTGGGGAGGAAGCTAGGGACGTACCCAACCGAAGCGAGGGTGAATCGCTAATAAGGAATATGCGTGCGATTTAAATAAAGATAATTTTTTTAATAATCTTTATTGATTTTGAATTAAGCCTATATTCATATTGTTTTAATGTAATTTCTTTTTGATTAAGAAAATAATTATTAAAATGTGCAAATACAGGTGGAAAAATCAAAGTTGTTGAGGCGCACGCCAAACAAACGTATTGTATAAAAAAATAAAAAAAAATCACGCATATTCCATATTGGCGAAGTTGATAATTTTTTTGTACAATTAAGTTTTTTTAAGAGTAAATGTTTTACATATGAAATTGTTTTTAGTTTAAGAGTAAGGATTATATAAAAAACTATTATTTTCGAATATACAATAACTGAGTTTGATCTTATTGCCACTGCACCAGAAGTCCATTCTTGTTATATCAATTCAATTTAAACGTAATTACGATCATATTCGATAGTGTAACATTGTCGTGTGATTATACTATATAGATTAGGACGGTCTTTGTTCTGGGTATCTCTATATGCTACATTAGTGACCGACTGACTATGCCTTGTATTTTTTGAAGTAAATAACTTTTATTTTACATAAAAACAACGTTAATTTATATCTATACTAATATTATAAAGAGGAAATTTTTTTTTGTTTGTTTCTTTGTTTGTTTGTACCGAATAAGCTCCAAAACTACTGAACCGATTTAGATAAATTTGGTAAGAAGATATTTTGAGACCTTGAGAAGGACGTAGAATAATTATATATATACCTAGAGGCCGAATTTAGATTTAGAATAGTTTTTAGAATTTTTGTCTGTCTGTCTGTTACCGCATCACAGAAAAACTGCTGGAGGGATTTTGATGAAATTTGGCATGGTGATAACTGGCTATCCGGGTCAATATATAGGATACTTTTTACCACGGTTAGTATAGATTTCTCAGAGATGAGATATTTTCCCGCAGTAAAAAGTATCCTATAAAACCCGAATAAGCAGCTATAATAAATTTCATCAAAATATGTCCAGTGGTTGTCTCGTGATGCTCTCCCAGATAGACAGACAGACAAAAATCCTGAAAGCTATAATTCGGCTTCTGTATCGATAATAATAACTATTTCAATAAGATTTTTTAATCTGTGAGATTTTTCAATATGTAATCAAAAAATATTTGATGTACAGATTCGACTCAAAAAAGAATCTAATAAAATTATATGTATAGATGTTAAATATTCGCGTGAATCTAAGAAAGTATAACGTCATCTTATAATAATTATAGTCAACAACAACTCCGACAGACTGACTGAATTTTGGTAGAGTCCTTGGGTACACCAGTAGAAATAAGGTGCCAAAAGTCCCCTTCGATCCCATGTGTGCTAAAAAGTTATTAAAGGTTAATAAAGGTCAAAATGTTCAGTTTTTTTAATTTTTATTCGAAAACGGTAAGTTTTTAAAAAATATAGCCCAGACAAAAATTGTAGATCATAAAATTATCTACAAAAATGGTGGTTATATTTTTCTTCCTAACAATCACCATTCCTAAGATATCGCGATTCTAAAAGTTGAAATGAAATGTCTATTTTGACCGGACTATTAGAAATGAGCAAAACTTAGCAAGAATCGCAGCAAGTATAGAACATGTACATTTTTGACGCAGTTAGTTTTTTGTATTTTTTTTTATTTAGTGCTTTTTAGTTGGTGCCAGTTACACTATATGATTTGTTTTCAACAATTTGCTATGCCAAAATATTTTTATAAAATCACTAGGTACGTTTTAACGGTTAGTATGAAATACAAATCTTTGAATTTCTCGGTTTTTCTGTACTGTAATATGCATGTATATATATATATATATATATATATATATATATATATATATATATATATATATGTATAATACATGCATATTACATACCATCCTCTTGAATCACTTTATCTATTAAAAAAACCGCATTAAAATCCGTTGCGTAGTTTTAAATATGTAAGATTACGTAGGGACAGACAGACAGCGGGAAGCGACTTTGTTTTATACTATGTAGTGATTACATGATATATTTTTGTGATCGCATCTCTTTTTGTTATCGACAGGATCGGTCTGTGTATATAACTTATTTGAAAAAGTAATTTATAAAACATAAAAATAATCTCTCATGTTCCAATATTTATGCAAAGTATAAAAAATTGAGCACTTTTCATAATCTAAAGCATTACGATATTTTACGGCCTTATACTATGAGGCATGGATTTATTAGTAAAAAAAAAATTTACCCGATCCGGAATTAAACCCAGGATCTCAGATCTTTTTGTATACCACTAATGGAAAAATTAAAGTTTGTTGATAAAAAACCCTTCCTTAAAACATTTTGATTATTCTTGTCCGAGCATGATTAAATTAAAAGACTTCGTTATGCAAGATAAATTTATAAATATCTTTTGTACATTAAAATTGATATTTCGTTTAAAAAACGTAAAACCTACGACCCAGTCTAAGTTCTCACCTCCATTCTTCCAATCCATAATTACTATTAATACTTTAGCAAAGTAGTTTCAAAATGAGTTAAGCACGTGCAAAGTAATATGAGACCCTGCTTAGCGCTCTCAGCGATATCGATTGCGCTCTAACTTCATATACTTAGATTAAGGATGGAAACTTTTTCAATCTTATATAATTGCGTATGTCCGCGGTTTTGTCTGTGTAAGACCCATGTTTTGTATAGGATCGTGAAGGACAATTTTTTAGCCTTTTTTTTTTTAGTCTTTTTTGAAGTCGGTTAACTCCTTTTTACCAATTTTAAATAAATGAGGTTTTTCAACTGTCGAGGGTATATTTTGTTTTTGCTTTCTTGATTTTAAATGATTTTTGTTTCAATGGTTTGAGAGCAGACATTTCTTTGTTTTAAGGAAGAAATTGAAAATGAAAAATGATAACAAAACTTGAAAGAATTAACTTTATTCATTTAAATATACACTTTTGAATCGTCAAATAAAATTTAAAAATAATCAGTGTAGGACTGTGGACGATCCGTGAGGAAGCTACCACCGGCTAGAAGGCAGTTCTGCTGAGAAGAGCCGGAGAGAAACTGAACAGTTGCTTTTTTAAAAACCGGGTAACGGTGTTTAATACAACACTATAGCTATCCCACATCTATCTATAATATTATAAAGAGGCAGAGTTTGTTTGTTTGTTTGTTTGTTTGTTTGAACGTGCTAATCATAGGATTCACTAATCCGTTTTGAAAAATGTTTTTTTGCATTAGATAGCCCGTTTATTCACGAAGGCTATACTTTTTTTATTGGTCTGAGGCTATATATCATATAATATATAGTCTATCTATTCCATACTAACCGTTAAAATGTACCTAGGGCCGAACGCGAGCGAAGCGAGGGCGAGTCGCTAGTATGAGCAAAAGAGTCAAAATTTTAATTTCACATATTACCATGTACACGAAACTCTTGTACAAAGTTATTAGTTTGTGCTCTACTCACTAATAACTTACGAGTTCTTTACTTACTAATATACACATTTTTAAAGGAATCTGTATTATTTTTAAGCTGATTTTGAAGGTGGTGTAAGTTTTTGAGAGCATACTGTTGTACGTCGAACTTAGACATACATAGATCATGATAAAATTTATTTCATCAACTCTTGGTAAGAGTAGAGATCACATATTTCACCATTTTGTTAACTTCAAGTGGATTTTTAAATAAGTATAATATGTCCAATTTTAATACACAAAAATATATATTTCTATCCATAACGAGATAGATGTTAATTTAATTTTTCCACATTGACGCATTATTATTATGATTTATTTATATGCTCTACATCCATAATTGGGTGTATAATATTTTGGGGTTATAATACTTTTTTCTTTTTTTTTCTGTATTGCCCATTAGAAAAAATCTGTTTTCAGATGGACAGACAGCCCGACAGATTCAAGCTAGTCTATAGGAAGCAACTGACTTTTCGTTATACGGAACTCTAAAATCACTATACTTGCATAGTTATACTATAACTTATTTTTTATTCTTTGTCGACACGTTTAGCTCAGTTTGTATTTGTACTTGCTGTGCCAGCGGTCGCGGGCTGAGGTCCCGCTGGGGGCATTCATTTGTGTGATGAGTACGAATGTTTGTACTACAGTCATGGGTGATATTTGTAATATGTATGTATTTAAAGTTATATATGTGTAGTGTACCAACTCTGGTATCCATAGCACAAGCCTCGTAGCTTACCATGGAACTAGATGGTGCTGTGTGTTAATGTCCCAACATTTTCATTTATTTATTATTACTACTGTATCTTATTTTCTATACTATATCATTTATATGGCAAACAATATGTGCTGATTTTATCGATACGTCGACATTAATTAATATCCGCAAGTGACGTCACTTCCGCCGCGTGCAATGATAGATTACAGAGTTAATGAGATTGTGTATTTTTGACAGATTGATAAATGAAAACGGCTGGAAGGTTGACCACCTGTTATTGTACGACCAACGCTTTGTGGGTTAGCGTAATAGTTTTGTTAGACGATAAGAAAATTGCTTGTTAGTGTTGATATTTTATTGTAAAATTATAATGTAGCATTAACGTATCATTTAATATGGGTAGTATTTATTAGGACGATAAAATTAGTATATAAATAGTTTTAACAATCAAGTGAGTGTGCGTGTGCGTGTGTGTGTATGTGTGTGCGTGTGTGTGTATGTGTGTGTGTGTGTGTGCGTGTGTGTGCGTGTGTGTGTGTGTGTATGTGTTTGTGTGTGTGTGTATGTGTTTGTGTGTGTGTGTATGTGTGTGTGTGTGTGTGTGTGTGTGTGTGTGCGTGCGTGCGTGTGTGTATGTATGTGTGTGTGGGTGTAAAAGTATAAAAGGTTCTTATAGGAAAACAACTGTAACATGCACAATAATTGTCTAACTTACAGAGATTAATTATAAAATATTTTGTAGGCTGAATGTATATTCAAACGTCAACTTTAGATACCGTTATGTCATTTTTGATTTTGACGTTTGAATTTACATTCACTAAAAGGGTATAAAAGTGATTGCTAGACAAGTAAATCGGATTCTTACGCGTAACGTCGTGGTGTTAACATTGTGAAATAATAAGTGAATTGTGTGTGTAATAGTGATGTGAAGTGAAGTGATTAGTGTGTTTAAGTGGATAAATATGAGAATAAAAGATACATATTAGACAACTGCTGTCTTTTCTTTGATTCCTTCTGAGCTCGTTTTACAACAATTTCAATTTTTTTGTATGTCTGTATGTTTGGTCCGGCTAAGCTACGAAATGGCTGGACCGATTTTGACGGGACTTTGACAGTTTAGGTAGTCGGGAATTTAGAGGTTGTATATTTTATATTCAGTCGGTTTTTTCGTATATCGAATATCTAAGATTTTTGAACCGATTTATATACTTTTTTTGAAAGTATATGAATACATATATTCGTGCTGTGGCTCCACATTATTATGGTTCCTAACGAATAGAATTAAATTAACAGCGATTTAAAATATTAGTTACGAATAGTTGTTATTGCTTTGCAAAAATAGTTAATGTAAAACTTACAATATTTTTCTTTATACTATATAATATTTTTTACACTTCTGATATTTAAAATAGAAACACAACAAAAGCCCATGGACTTTAATAAGTTCGAAAAAAATAAAAATATTTATACTCACTTAAAAATTTCATTAACTTTTGCCATCATCTCATGCAAAAGGTTTACTCTTTCAGCCAACGTTGTTCTTTTTTCTTCTGTAATCATCTTTTGCTTCTTTAACTTCCTATTAAGTTCTAGAAGATTATTTTGACGTTTTTCTTCCATCATCTCGTTCCAATCTCTTCGATCCACTTAAACAATTGTGTCATATTTAAATTTTAATTACGTAAATACTCGTACGTGATGTGAAAACGGAAACTGCCTACGGTAAATAAAATTATTAACTTCTTATGAAGAGAAAATATTTATTTTTAACCAGCTTCAAATAAAGATTTTTACGATGACTTTTTTGCGAATATCTTATAATGATATCACGTTATATCTTGAGTGATTTAGATCTCTTTTTAGTATTTTTTTTAATTATAAGAACATTCTTAGAAATAGAGTAGTATTGTTATTGCAAAGATTATATTTATGTGTATGTTTGTTACTTTTTTATGCTTAAACAGATTTGCACGTAGTTCACAAGTGGACTATAACCTTTTTTTTAACGTTAGGAAATACATTTTCCAATACATACATACGGTTATGTGGGAGTAGCCGGTTACAAAAACCAGTAAGTACTACACATTAAAAGCCAACGGGGGGTTGCAAGATCGCTTATGCACTCAACCACAGTGTTGAAGTAGTCCACAATAACCAAGGGGTTGTTCCCATGGTATACCACCCACAGAAGTGGGCCACTTCCCAGTTTAACTCTTGGCTCTAAACCTGGCTAGATTGCCGGACGCTAATGAGCCACCTCCCATCACGACAAGGTGAACATATACATGAAGGGGGAGATATGTAGACTATGACCTGGAGTAACACTTAGGCTGCTGTTAGGAACGTAGAAACGTATTCGAGTGAAGTCGTTTTTATTAATAATGTTTAAAAGTTATAAATAAAACTATCTTTTTAACCAGGAAATTATACTTAAATTAACTACGCAATCGAAGTCGCAGCCAAAAGCAAGTATATTTAATTCCAGAATGACGATATGTAGTAGGATCTTAGGAAATGTGATGTCGATTTCTAATTCCCACCATCTTCATACTAATGTGCGTTTAAGATATAGTGAATAAGTAATTAAGCGTTATTAGGCAATTACGTGGCTTGCATTATTAATTCTTTACATAATGAATTACAGTTTACGTCATATTAACACTCGATTTGAAACTATATGCTACTACTATATGCTAACTATATACTAGCGACTGAACCTCGATTCACTCGGGTGCGTCTCTAGGTACCTTTATCTATACCTACATATTATAATAAAATTCTAACTGAGTCGGATCTGTACATTCAATATTATTTTGAAAAATTTAATGTTAAAGTCCGTTATTTTTTTTAAAGAATAATTCCATAAAACAATGTTTTCATATAACTATTTGTTTACGCGGCGCACGCGATTCACGCGGCTTCAATAATCATCATCATATTTCAGTCAATTTACATAAAACCCATGGACGAATTAGAGACTTCGTTCATGATAAAACCTTAATAAATTATACGCTTAGGCCTTTGTCATGAATCACTCCGTCTATCTATGAAAACCGTATGAAAATCCGTTCGGTAGTTTCTGTGTTTATTGCATTCAGACAAACAGACAGACAGACGCGTCCGAAATAATATGTAAATTAAATACAAATTATAGTTCAAGCTTTATTAAAATGTTAAAAGTTATTTCTTTACCAATTTCTTGCTGTATCTGCTTGAGCTTTCGTCTCAGAAGTTCGTTTTCGGCACAAAAGTCCGTTAGTAGTATGTACAGAGAAAAGTTTTCTTGTTCAAATTTCTCGAATGTTTCAATTATTTTGTTTACGTCGTACTCCTTCGTGTAGTCCTAGAAATTAATATTTTGTTATTTTAGGTTATAATATCATATTAGTTAGAGAGATCTGATTTTTGCTTGCTTTGGTGTGTATCTTAAATATTATAGACCAATATATACCGTAGAAAATACTAGCAGTTATGAGATAAAAAGGAGATTATGGCACTCTTCGATCGTAAATGAAAAAAAATGTGATGTAGATTGTGACCTACATAGACTGTTAGTAATAAAATTTGCCAAAAGATGGCGGTAATAGTTTGTCAAAAAATGAATACATACATATTACATATAAAGAAATGTCGATTTTGTTAGGGACGTACCTAGGTGGAATTTGCGGCTTGATACAAAAAGCGAGCGAGACGAGGGTGAGCCACTAGTTTATATTATTTTCAGATATAGATATAGAGAAATTCAAATCAAAAACCGCTGAAATCTTCGGAAAACAACCAAATCGCGCGTCAGCGTTAACTTTACCCGCAAATATTTGACTTATCAATATTCCACGTTCCCAACATACGGCGTGATTTAAATAAAACACTCTGTATAGGCTCAAAACAAATAACATTATGAGATGCCTACAAAATCCTTTCGACTTTACTTGTTTTGATTAAATTAGATTATTATTACGCTCTACCCGAATATACATATAAATTTCTCCTAAGCCTATTGACGGATTTTGATAAAAAATATTATGTACTTATGGGAACACCTGATTGGTTCTTAGATGAACCCAGTAGATGGCGTTGTCAATAGCTAGATATTTATTTTAAAGAAATTTATGTAACGGTGAAAAAGAAGTAGTTTTGGCAATATTTTGTCACCTTAACTCGCAGTAAGCTTTTACTTTCTTCTATACTTATGGGATATTTTAGCTAAATATGCGTGAAAACCCAGTAATGTAAAAAAAAACCTAATTTTTTCAATATAATTTTTTTAACGCGATCTCTGTATTTTAACCTAGGAAGAAAGTACGTAAATTTACAGGATGGAAAGTATTCCAAATATTAATTTCAATGATGTATGATAGCAATCTTTAGTAGCTAAAAGTAGCTAAAATTTAGTTTTTATAGTAGTTTAAAATATTTTTTTAGATTACTTACGTTAATATCATCTAAGATTTTAGAATGTGCTTCATATTCATCCTTTATATTTTGTTCTTTTATAAGATTCTGTTCTTCTTCTCTTTCTTCCTGCTTCTTATTTATTCTTATAACTCCTTTTTTAGCCAGGAAATTGTAGAGTTTCATTTCATGATCAAATGCTTTTTGTAAGTCTCTCATTTCCTGTGAACGTTCAATATTAGTAATCGAAATAATATTTAAAACGTAAATCTATACAGATAAATAAAATTGGAGTATCTGTTTGTAATGTCAAAATAACAGCGTTTTACTAAATGCATCTGAAATTATATACGGTACTTGTAAGAAAAACATTTTATTTTTATTTTTGTCTGTCTGTCTATCTGTTTGTTCCAAATAATCTCTGAAACGGCTGGACTGATTTTGACGAGTATTTCACTGGAAGATAGCTGATGTTATAGGGAGTAACATAGGCTACTTTTATTTAAGAAAAAGAATTAGGGATCCGCTCAAAAAAATGAAAACGTACCTAGGGACGAATCCGAGCGAAGCGAGGGTGAGTCCTAGTGACTCATATATATTTAATGATTTCAAACGTAATCGTAAGTAAATAATATGTAATGTTTTAACACAAAAATCATATTTTCAAAATTCGACTATTTCAATCCTCCGCTATAATACATCCATGAATTGGCTAGAATAGATCTCAAATAAAGATAGGACCACCTGTGCTTAGTAATAATAATTGTATTATAATATATATGATACGTTTTAAGTGCAGTAAGCTGCTAGTGTTATTTATGCTTTTGAGATATCTTAAGCCTCCCGTGACCATGATTGCTGTAAAGCATTCGAAACGTGGGGAACCAAAAATTAAAATAAATTCGCGAAAAAATCTGAAAATATAGTTTTATTTAAAATGTCAAATATTCTCGTAAATCTAAGAAAGTACTATGTATACAATTTAAATTATTTTACAGGTATTTTAGCTTTTTATAATATTACTAGTTATTGGCCGCACGCGTACTTTGTTGTTATTTATTTTATTGTACTGATTTCTTTCTGAGTATTTTGTTTTTATATATAGAAACAAGCGACTTACTCTCGCTTCACTGGGGTGTGTCTCTAGATACGTTTTCAAGAGATAAGAATAGATATTGTGAGTGTAACTTAGGAGATACACACCTGCTATCGCGGACTTTTTCGAGAAATCTTAAATTGGAATTTTGCGTATTTTTAAGGGTTTTCAATTTTCAGACTGATATCCGAAATATTTCCAAAATAAAATATAGCCCTACAAACTACTCTATCTTCCAGTGAAAGTCACATCAAAATCGGTTAAGCCGGTCCAAAGATTACCCCGGACAAGCAGAAAGACAGACAGGCAAAATTTTTTAAAAAGGTTTGTTTAGGTCATGGTATCATATAAATAGTATGCGCTTGTAAAAACATAGTTATTTTGAATATAGACAGATTTATATGTAGATATTAATAATTCATTAGGAATTAGCAACACAGGAAGGAACATAAGAGAAGATCAATTTATACAGTTTGAAAATATTCTGCGTACAAATATGGGTCATTTATATGTAGTATTATTATAGTTTAGTTCTAGTTTTCAGTAAGATGGCATTAAAGTAGGGCATTACGGAGTGATCGATCGAGGAATTAGAGTGGAAGCAACGTAATAAAATTCACTGGATATGTAGCGTAGGTGACTTCTGTCTGAATGACTGGAGAAAATGGTTAGCGTTGAAACGATGTTGATAGGATTTTGTACTGAAAGGTAAGTTAGTTCTATATAGTAGGATTAAAACTATATATATATATATATATATATATATATATATATATATATATATATATGATTTCTCATCACTGAATGTGATGTGATCATACTAAGGTTTCTTGAGCTTGAGGTTCTGCTCGGTAATAGATTTTTTTCGTTGAAGATATCGATGGAATTAATAGAAGATAATCGCTTCAGTGAAGAGGTGCTACCACATTTCCCCTCCGCGGTCCTTTTTTGGGAGTATTTCTTTAGTCATGATCTATGATCCTTCTAGGACCTCAATGATTCTCACTACGAGCCTGGCGTATCCTAATACTGAATAGTGTTTTCGGGTGTTTGCGGGGGCTTTTATGTTAGGATTCCATTCGTAGGATTCACATGATACATACATACATACAAAGGCCAAAGTTAATTATTAAATATCTTTTGTATTAGTTGTTATGGTTATTGTTAAGTATTTATACAGTATTTATAGTTTTTGTGTATCTATTAGCTTAAGTACGCATGCTTTACAATTGGGCATATTATTATTACTAGTAAGTGGTTGATATTCTCAAAAAAGCTCGTCGAAAACTACTCAACAAAAAAAGAAGAATCTCTCTGAGTAAAAATAGGTACTGAACTGCCTTGTCATTGCCTATTGGAAAAAAATGGGTGCGAGTAACCTTTATGCGCGGTTGAAGTAAAACTTCGTAGGCAAATATCTCAATTAAATTAAAACAAATTATTAACTAAATAAGGCATATTAAGCATTTTACGAACATATATTTATAGAATATTATATATGGAAAGAATATAATGTTATACATTTGTCAGACAACAACAACGGTTACCATGGCAAAAGGGCAATGTATTCTACCTCATTTTCTCGCCGGCTTAATCCTACATATTTATATGTTTGTCTCTTTTTAGTGTCGCATTTCCGTTTCATCGAGTTTCAAATCACAACGATTCTAAAAAAGTTTGACTTCAAAAATATACGGCAGCAAACCTTTACCTGAATTTGTACCATCTGGTCCATCCTCCCCTTTTCTTGTATGGACTTCAGTTTCGTGCACCATTCATCTCTCTGGTCGTAAGCAAGTGTTGACGATTCGAATAAATCAGTTAAGAATTTCTTGCCTTTATTCAGAGCGTTTTGCATTTTGGTCCATGAGAGGTTGAATAGAGCCCTGTTGATGATTAGATATATTTTTGTGTATGTTTGTGTGAACGTATTTCACTTAAGACCTTCTATTATATATTGTATATTTTTTTATTTATTATTAAGCATATTTACAATACACATGTTAAAACAATTCAATACAATAATTAAATTAAAAAAGAAACAGAAGTGCATATTAATTACAAGTGTACACAGCATTCATAATAATTATCGCGAGGAAACCTGTATGTGTGAGAGCCCCGCCCCGCACTTGGCCAGCGTGGTGGACTATGGCCTGATCCCCCTCGAATTGAAGGGAGACCCACCCCCAGTAGTGGGACAGTAAAATAGGCCTGAGTACATCAAACAACACAAACCTGTCATTAAGCATATGCTCAATTTCTTCTCTGATCTTCTTATTCTCGCATTGCAACACGTTGAACCTTCGCTGCGCCGCTTCTAGTTTGTTTTCAGCGGATGCTAATCTATTTTCACTGAAACTGCGGCGTTCTTCAAGCTATTAAAATGTTGTTTATAACACATTAGCTGTTTTAAAAACTGCAAATTTATCCTATTTTATGAATTCTTTTAAAATTAAACGAAAATAGGACTAATAGCTCAAAAACTTAAGAGATGAATAATCTCTAAGTTATGGGATTCAAAATGGATAAAATGAGCCTAAACTAAAAGATTATAATATGTTTTAATAGTGATTAAAAAGTGTTAAAAGAATATGTTGATGTTTCAAATCGACTTCTAATACAGGTTAAAACCGATTTTCAAGATTTTATTACATAATTACATACGTTATATTTCATTCATTCATTCATTTTCATTGATACACGTGTATTCAAGTAATGCATGCATAGACAGATACCGCCAACTTTAGGGAGTTGAATTTTGAAAAATATTGTTTTTTGGCCTCCCTTCAATAAGAGGGCGATTAAGCCATAAACTACTGAACGAAGACAGGTTTACGGACTTGTCTATCGAAAACTTATTAGGTTCTTCATGCAGGTTTACGCACGACGTTTTCCTTCACCGTAAGTCAAGTGGTAATTATGTTAAAAAGGATTTAACATGAAACTATTAGAAGTGCAAGACCCGGGATTTGAACCCGCTTCACTTGGTACCCAAGCAACCACTGGGCTACCACTGTCTGTTGAAAAATATATTTACATCTATTTCTTTGAAACTGTAACACTACAGTTTAAGTAACCAATTTATCGTAACGAACTTCTTTTCGTACCTGTCCATTATTAGCGTTAACGGTCTTCTTCAGCAGAAGCATATGTTTGTTCTTGCGATGCAACAAATTATCTAGCTGGTCCATTAGAGTAATGCCTTCTGAAAAACATAAATTTATGTAACATAATTAGTTTTGAACTGAAACATTAAGTGATTCTTTGCTTAGTGTTGAGATTTTTTCTTGCAATTTTTTAACTACCCTTGAGATTTTAAATAAAACTATCCTTTTGGATTTTCTCGCGGATTTATTTTGATTTTTGAATTTTGGTTCCCGACGTTTCGAATGCTTTACAGCAATCATGATCACGGCAGAGAATAAGGTTTTCAACGTCTCGACCTTTGAGAAGTAAGAAAATGAGACAGAAAAGATTAAACAAGTGTGAGTTTGACACGAACGGTTTCGTTCCACTATCAAATGTTTGTTGTTTTTACTTAGGTAAGATCTTAGGCTACAATGAATAAAATAATATATTGCACCATATTCATTTTATCAACTACAAAACCTAATTTGTATTTTATAGTATTTCTTAATTTATTTAACAAATACTCTACTAATTTTGAATTTTTCAGCTTTTTAACTAATTTTACCGTCATTTAATTTAAAATTAAAACGTGTTATTTAAAATATTTCATATTGCATGTAACGTAAATTACAATTATAATAATGCTTAATGGAATTATCTCGATTTTTTCTTAATATTCCACTACGTAGTTTAAAAGTAAGAATTGGGATGATACAATGCTTGTCACGTTAGAAGTATATAGTTCAGATTTTTTCAAAACTGATTCAAGAGTACTAGCTATTTGATTATGTATGTATAGATCTATGAATGTTTGTTACTCTTTAACGCAAAAACTACTTAATGATACTTTAAATAATATAGCTCATACAGTAGAATAACACATAGGATACTTTATATCCCGGGAAAATGTACGGTTCCCGTGGTATAGATATTTTTTTAGAGGAGAACCTGAGCGAAGCGAGGGTGAGAGTCACTTTTCGTTATTTGACTACAGTAGTTCAGTGGTTTACATGAGACAAAAATTGTCTTCCTAAATAAATGTACAAAGTAGTATTTTTTACTCAAACTATATATTTAGCAAACAGTTGATAAAATTAGGCAATTCGATATTATTATTTGTTAATTGTTACAAAGAGAATAGGAGACAGATATTTGTATCAAATTACTCTTACCATGCATTTCCTATGCTTCATGTGGCATGAATATTAAACTCATGGCGCACAAAGTCACAGTGTCTCACTATAATTAAAGATAATAGATTTTGTACCTTCGCATTCTTGATCAGTATTCGTACGTAACAGTAAAGCTCGTTTTAAGCCAGCTTTCATACGTCTGTCGTTCTTCTTATGAGCTCCCGATCTAGCTATCTAAAGGATATAAGGAATTTTTATTTTTATTCTTTTGTACAGTAATGACTTACGTAGAAATTTTGTATAGTATTTATATATATTTTTAGTAACTTTCATACGTTTATGTATATGTATGCATCTACGTATACAGGGTCATTTTTAATTTACTGAAAACCTTTTGGGGATACACTATTTACAACATTATAACAACATCTGTTAGAAAAAAAAAATCTTAAATTTAACAAAATAAAAATGTTTTTATTGCAACTTCTAAACGGTAATAGTCCAGCATTAGCAAAAGAAAGTGCGTGTCCGGTGGAGGGGGAGGGGTGGAGGGGTGAGGGGTGGAGGGGTGTAGGAAGTGGCCCTTACTCATTTAAACTTGGCCAGATGCTAGAACTTTACCGTTTAGAAGGTGCAAAAAAAATATTTTTATTTTTGTATGAAAATAAAAATTAAAGAAATATAATTTTTTCTTGTTTCAGATGTTGTTGTTATGATTTAAATAGTATATTCCCAAAAGGTTTTCAGTAAATTAAAAATGACCCTGTATAATACGGATGGATTCTTCATTGGATTGCAAAAAATCTTTGAAAGTAAATATTTAGAAAACAAAAAGCGAATATACGGTCAATATGATTTATAATAATAATTATACTTCGTAGCTTCATTTTTTGATATACATGTTATTACTAAGGTTAACTAACCTTTATTCTACTGGCAACATCACACTTTCTTTAGAGAAGTTTAATTTTATTTCTACTTACCTCCATCTCTTATATGTACTCACTCGTCCTTCTCATTATTCTTTCGATACCTCCCACGAAAATAGAAAGATAGGACGAGAGCTCAAGTCCAAAAAACTCAAATCGCAGTTCACATAAAGTTAAAATAAATACAAATCTATACCTATAATAAAATAGTAACAAAGTCGAATCTGTACATTAAATATTTTTTGGAAAATCTTATAGAAATAGACATTATTATCGATACAGAGTCCGAATCTATAGTTTTTAGAATTTTTGTCTGTCTGTATGTCTGTCTGTCTGTTACCGCATCACGAGAAAACCACTAGACAGATTTTGATGAAATTTGGTATGATGATAGCTGGATATTCGGGTCAACATATAGGATACTTTTTACCGCGGGAAAATATCTCATTTCTGAGAAAAAATGCAAAAACTGCAATGTAAGAGTATACTAATATGTAAAACCTAAGAATTTGGTTTTTGGTCATCTGAACGCGGGCGGAGCCGCGGGCAATGCTAGTATAAAATAAGGGAGTTTTTTGTTTTCAGTAACCATGGCTCGAAAGTGTGAGAACATAACCTAATAATTATGTGACCTTTCCACTTTTTTACAATAAGTATATCTTCTACATAATATATTTGTCAAAGTATCTCCAATGAAATTAATTTATTACCTTTAAATCTTTGTGAAGATTAAGATACTCTTTTTTGAGAGTTCTAAGTAGGTGATCTTGTTGTCGGAACTGTGGATGCACACCCATAGTGCGATGAAGTCTGTCCATTTGTATCATGCGGATCTGAAGATAAAATACTGTTTCTTAAAACTTTAAGCTAACTGACTGATAGACTGATTAACTGTCTGAATGACTGACTGACTGATAGACTGACTGACAGACGGGCTGACTGACTGACTGTACACTGACTGACAGACGGGTTGACTGACTGACAGATAACGCCCAGCCTAAACCATGGAGTTACTATGCTCACCCAAACAGAACAGAATTTGGGTGTGTGTAATTTACTTTAATGCAAGAACCGTTACTTCTTTAATATGTTCTTATTGTATGTCTAAAAATACGTTTTCAACATTATTAATTCTCTATACACTAGTGAATTCTTCTCCGTCTTTAAATTTAAATTAGTTTTATTTATTCAGAAAATTATCAGGCACAGAAAGACAGCAATTTGTTGATGACCCTATTAAGGTATAACTTTTCTTTTATTAAAATTATGAAAATACTTCACAATTAGTGAAAATATCATCTAACATACTCGTATACCCAAATTGAGTATCACCTTTTAGAACTCTGAGATGAATGATACTGGCAAGAAAACTTAAAAACTTAATTTTTATACTTGTCTTTGAAGTCGTAGATGTTCATCCTCCATTTTCTTAGAAATCTCCAAATCAGTCTCTGTTTCTTGATTTGTTGTTTCCATATTAGATATTAGTGTAAAGGTTTATATAGAAATATTTTTGAGGTATATTTTAATAGTGACCAACTAGATATCACATTCGATGTCTAACTGTAATAAAACAACATAGATTAAAAATATGTTTGCGAGAAATTCAAATTATCTGTTTGTATGTGTGAACGAGCGTGTATGTGTATGAATAGTAGGGGGAGGGGTGTAGGGGGTGGAGGGGGGTCTGGTTGAGGTGGTTATTGGTGTGTGTAATATATAGTAATAATAACTGGATGCCAAAAGTAGCAATAATTACATGATTCAGTCTAATTATGAATATCTAACCGTTTAAAATAAAATGATACGAATGAAATTGTTACGATATCAATGTTATATAAGTGTAGTAGTGATTTTTACATATTTTATTTCGCGAATTTATCATGATTTTTGGTTCCCGACGTTTCGAATGCTTTACAAGCAATCATGGTCACGGGAGAGACTAAGGTTTTAGACGTTTAAAAGGCATTATGTTTGTACTTGTTAGAGTAAGTACCCACAAAATTAAAAAATGAATCAAAAAAAGGCATCAAAGTACTTTAAAATAGTTGTTGATTTTAATGCTAAATATTTTCAATTTTTTAATAGGTATTATAATTAAATATGGCAATATTATTGATTTAATTTTAGCTGTTATTATTATTAATATTACAATTTTTTTAAAACTTAATTAATTATATTATTTAGCGTTGCTATTATTATAATATGTGTAACCATAAAGAAAATAAAAATAAAATATTAATTTAGATTGCTATTATTCAAAATTTAAATATTAAGCAACACTATAGCTTATAGATAAAAAAATATTAATCTGAATTACTACTAGGTTGGTTTAGCTGGTCAATTAGCTACTAACAAGAAAAGGAAAAATTGATTGACAAACAGAAAAAAAGGGACTGAAGATATTGCCTATTTACTATAAAGAGATATCCATCTATACATTTACAACGTTGCTAATTTACATTTTGTCGTGTTAAAACGCAGAAATAGAATAGCAAAGACGTTTTAAAGACCTACTGAGAGGTCGGATTCTGTTCATTCAAAAGGTACCTAAAACGTTTTCATTGGTCGCCATGTTCTTTGGGATCGTTTGCACCGTATTGTTTATATATCACTTATAATAGAATAATAACGGCGTGAATGTTGTGTTAAATATAAAAAAATGCATGTAAGTACTTCATTCTACACTATACTTAATATTTAGTATATTTTTTTAACTAGTGTACCACCAGCACTCAAAAATCAACCATAATTATTATTGAAAATTGGAGGTAAATATCTATGAATAGAATTTTTTTACAGTTAACACTAAAACTTGTCAATAGCTACTAAACTAACAAAAGAAAAAGAGAATCGTTATACAGAGGAGAAAAAGGTATTGAACTTTTAAGACATTGTAAAGCATTCGAAACGTCGGGAAACAAAAATACAAATAAATCCGCGACAAAATCCGAAAAGATAGTTTTATTTAAAAGGTATTGAACTGTTTTATCTTTGCCTATTTCTACATAAGTGTACATATTATAATAAAATTCTGAGTCGAATCTGTACATGAAATATTTTTTGGAAAATCTTATTGAAATAATAATTATTATCGATAAAGAGGCCAAATCTATAGTTTTTAGAACTTTTGTCTGTCTGTCTGGGAACGCATCACAAGAAAACCACCGGACAGATTTTGATGAAATTTGGTATGATATAGCTGGTTATCCGGATCAACATATAGGATACTTTTTACTGTGGGAAAATATCTTCTTTCTGAGAAAAATATACTAAATTTAAAACTGTAACTAGGGACGGGACGTAATTTCTAAAGAGTCACCCGGCTAAGAAACTTATCTGTAGTTTTTAATAAGAGCGCCGTCTACAATCTTCCCCTCATATCTCACGTCACCAACCTCTTGCTATAAATATTTACATATAATAAAACAATTCTAAAAATATTTTTCAACGCACGCTATGCAATTTTTCACACAAACAATTTATAGCTGCATAGTAAATAAATCCAGTTAACCCTTTCGCTTCGCTGTCAAATATATCCAACAATATTTTCTCTTTTTCTGGGACTTCGATGTTTTTATACCTATTTCTCTTTCATGACCGACATTTTCTATACTAAACATAAAAGTAAAATCGCTGTCTGTACACGGAAGATATTTGAAAATAACTATTATTGGGGGGGTCTCTATGTTAATACTCGTAAATTATAAACTCGTACAAAAACCCAAAACAATGAGTTTTAGAATTCTTATCTGTTTGTCTGTTCATTTGTGTGCGCTAATCTCAGAAATGACTTAACCGATTTGGATGCGGTTTTCATTAATGTATTGTGATAAGCTTAACTTAACATTTAGTATTTGTTTTATTTCAATGGGTTATAAATAAAAAAAACTTTACGAGACTATGTGTTGTATTAAAATAAAGTTACTCCAAAAAAGTTACTATTGAGTCTTATCTAGTACAGTATTTGAAGGCTAAAGATTATGAAGTGACGTTTTTTTATAAAACTGACAGTTCATAATTGACATGTTTGAATTAAAATTTGATACACAAATATATTTCGATCTGGAGTAATAAGGATAAGATGCTTGTTGTAAATGATTTAAGTTACATACGCTACTTCTTATCCCGGAAAAATGTACGAATCCCGTGAGATAGGTTTGTTTTTGCTTTCCCAGAGGTGAGCCTGAGCGAAGCGAGGGTGAGCCGCTAGTTATAAATACGATTATGATAAATGGGTTGTCTATAGATTACTATTAATGGTAGCATCAATGTAATGCTTAGACAACGCAGGGATGATATTGGCTTGTTTGATATTTATTATACACTACTAGTTAGCTTATAATCGCACCACTAATATATATATTTTTTGATTGATTAATTATCATAAGCGAAAGTTTCTGTTTCTATGTGAGTTAGTGTATGATTAGTACATATTCACGCTTAAATGGCTTGACAGATTTAGATGGAATTTAGTGCATAGATAGGCTACGATATAGAGTAACTCATAGTATGTTCTTAGATACATGGTATGCTCTGAGGCTTTGCTACTAGAGTTTAGATTTTAAGTAAATGATTTTTCTGTTTCATATAAAAAGATGTCTGTGGACGGAATTAGCCCTTACGGAAGTGAAAGGGTTAAATCTCAGTCATCCGATCGTATAACCGATTCAACCTCAGTCGCGTGTCTGAAACTGTGTCGCGTAATTATTACCTGTAAACGTGGCTTAGTATGTAACGCTGTTGTTGCTTACAGTTTTTTCTTTTTTATGTTTTACAGTTTTTGCAAGCTTGCGTATATAACTTTCTTTAAATAGTTAAAACTGTGAATTAGATTGATAGTCTTCTAAGAATGTTGACGCCAATAACAAGAGAATTGAATTGAAAATGATGATTGAGAAGTATTCAGAGACCATTTTATAAAATTCAATCCATTTTTTTTGTTATTAGCTTCAAAGCGTGTCAGTTGAGTACAGATTGATTCACCAATGTCAAGTAGAATGGAAAAGATATTTAATAAAATTATGGTGTATTTTTGTTGTATATGTGTTGCATTAAGTTTTGGATATATAATAACTAGCCGTCATCCACCCGCTTTGCTCGGCGTATGTACGTAAATGTTTTTTTGGTCTTCAGAGACCTTAACGAATAAGACAAATAACAAACAGTTAATAAAAAAATGTATTTTTTTTTCTTTTGGTGGAAAAAAATATGAAAGAAAAAAATATATGTTAAAGAGTATATGGAATTCAAAAAAATAATATAATAGGTTTATCTTATTTTTCCATGTTTGTTAATTGTTTTGTTTTTTTTTCATTGTTACTACTCTAATTTATTAAATATTTTTAAATGGAAATTTGTTGGAATACTGTACTGTATGTTTCCCAAATATATTAAAAATAAAAATAATAAATAAATAAAAGTAACATATATAATATATATTTCCTAAGTTATAAACATATATATTTTTTTAAATTCTGTGGGCTAACAATGTTACATGACGGTGTGACGACAGCCCAACAGTCTTTGTTTCTAAAAATCCTCACTCGAATGTTTTTGCAGCGTTCTCTTTGAGGCCGATGTTACTGAGGTTTCTTTGATTTTTAAACACAAGTATGAAAGAGATATGAGTGCAATAAGGGTTTATGAGTTAATTTTGCTCGCTCGATCTTTAGTGTTGATGATGAAATGTTGGATATTGCAAAATCCTTCTTATTCCTGTTTTCTGTGAAAGAAAAAGGTTTGTTGTGGAAGAGACTCATTTATGGTATTTTTTGGTGATTTTAACACTTTAGTACACCTATATTTCGATGAAATACAGTTTTACGTATAAATATAATACTATTGATGTTTTCATAATAATGAATGTGAAATGAATTTATGTTATTACTTTTAAATTAATTTTCAATTTTATTTATTACTGTCTATCTATAATATTAATTTTACGCTCTAAATATTGTGGAATCGTTAAAAGTAATTATGACGATAAAATCTTTCGAGTCTATTAAGATAAAAATTTCAAAAGACATGTGAAGTCCGCCAACCCGCACTTGGCCAGCGTGGTGGACTATGGCCTGATCCTCCTCGTATGGAAGGGAGGCCCACCCCCAGCAGTGGGACGTTAAGAAGGGCTGAATACAAGCTAAAAATGGATTTTATAATAAAACTTTTTACAACTACTATAAATTCAATAAATTATATAGTGCAATAAGCAATTTCAGTTTACAGAGAAGATATCAACATCTTATAATACCGACTGTATGAGCGCCCGTCAATCGTATAAGAAGAGCTGGGGATACTCAACAGACATCTGAAGTGGATCTATGTATACCTGGTTATCATCATTGAAATATTATCCATACTATAATACTATTAATGTGAAAGTGTGTTAGTTTGTTTGTTTGTTTGTTTGTTTGTTTGTTTGTTTGTTTGTTTGTTTGTTTGTTTGTCTTTCTTTCATGTCGAAACGAAGTGAC